ACACAGACACACAGCCACACAGCCACACATCCACAACCCAACCCGAGACCGAGAAGTTGCAGCCACTTGGAATTTAATTTCAAGTCGGGGAAAGTTAAGAAATAGCCTGGCAAATGTCATCAGCATCAGCATAAGTAAAGCCGGCCGAGGCAAGGAGTTGGCCAACACCTGAGGTGCACTTATGGCACGGCATTGGCATTGGCATTAGCATTCCTTACAGCCAACCAGCCAGCAGATAACAAAAACATGCACAACAATTGCCTCGAGACGGGAATGATGATGCTGATGGGGATTTCGATGGGGATGGGGCACCACATATGGCAGCTTGTTTGCGTCGTCGGCGTGGATGGATTCAGCGATTTTATGGCAGCACTTGGATTCGAGGCGAGGCGAGTCGAGCATCTCCTGGCTGGCTGCGAAAATAAACACATTTTCAAGCTCAATGCCAGAGCCCGTGCCAGAGCCAGAGCCAGAGCCATCAGCAGCCAAAGGCGCAACAACAGACCCGGAGAACAAAGCCGAACCGAGCCAGAAATAGAAACTGAAATGGAAAAGTATTGGCCACCTCCGCCTCGTGCCGGGGCTCCTCCTGTCTGCCAACGGACATATAATGAAGTTTCGCAATCGCACTGCATCTGCGTGGGAGTGGGAGTGGGAGTCCGGTAGTGGGTCTCCGGGAGCCAGCCCCCCCCCCCCCCCTGTGTTTGGCTGGGAACGGAGCTCAAGTGTGATTACATGGCCCATGTTCGTTGGCAGCGAGTGTTTGTGGCATAATATTATTGTTTTTGTGCTCGCGTGTGAAATCAAACTCGATGCAAGGCAATGCAATGCAATGCATTGGCAAAAGGATTAAAAGGATGCCACACAAGCAGAAGCAACAGGAACGGGAACGGGGGCAGGGGGCAGGAGGCAGGAGGCAAGAGGCGGCAGTGCACGTGCATGACATTCGACGATTGTTCAACCTCCATCCAGTGATCCAATGTCCTCGGTCCTCGGTCCTCGATTGTCGGTCCCTGCCAGACTGCAGCACACAGTTCACGGTTATCCAGGATTCGCATCGACAGCTTGTAAGTGTAAACAGATACATAAAACAGGTCCTCGCGACTATGGCAATGCGCTGTAGGACTCGACAGGGCTATCATGACGAAGCCAGCCAAACGAAAGGGTAACCTATAGGGGTATAGCATTTCGGAGTGAAGGTCGTCTTCTGGAGAATGATTCGTAGAAACTTTTACTGGCAGACTTCGTTCAATCAATATTTATAAAGAATTCTTAAGGACAACACTTAACAAAATATTTAAGAATGATTGAATTAAATTATTTTATCATAAAGAAAAGGAATTCTAATGAAGAGAGTTCTGCAAATGTTTCGAAATAGTTAAGATTTTGCCCAACGCAAGTGTCAGACCTCTTGTAATGGATACATCTGATCTTCTTATGTATCTCTCATATTTCACTTGCCACATAATTTAGATATACCTTTTCCCGTAGGTGCTGCCAGCGAAACCAAAACCAAAACCATAACTAGACTCATCATTGCCGGTTGTCGGCAGCTTCCTGCAGTTTCCCAAAGGGCAGACGCAGACCCAGCCACAAGGATGGAGAGTATCCCCCATACACACTCCTGCAGGAGCATCTGTTTCAGTAGTTGCCACAAAAGCACCCAAAGACAATAACAGAAACAGCAACCGAAAGAGCAACAGCAACAGCAACAGCGACAGCAACAGCGTCAGCATCGGAATGGGGGGCAGAAAGGATAACTTCGAGGGAAGCGGAGTACAGTTATTTGACTTTTAACTTTTATTGCTTTATGTAGTTTAGATAAACGTTTGTGGCATGCCATAAATATGCAGCATGTTGGGGCAGCCCAGCGAAGAAAACAAGCAGCCAGGAGCAGCAGCAGCAACCAACAAGGAAAATGCCGAAGGGATGCCGACCAGAAGAGCAAATAACAAAAAAACAACAGCTCAACCAGGAAATGGTAACACGGGTATAGCACTATCTTAAGATGCCATTCCCTGGCTGGCTTATCGGTGCGAGGAGGGCCCAGAACAAGGCCAAAGCAATCCTTAACCATTCTGACCATTCGAATCTTAGGCGTAGTTTTATTTGATTCATCTACAGAATCCCTGTGTCCCTTGAAGTGAGTGTCATGTCCGTATTTGAGCGGTTGCACCACGGACAAGTCCCGTCTGCTGATGGCCTTCGATGATAGAGAAGACAGACGGGGGTAAACCATTTCTGATTTATGTTGTAACTTACGAGTGTGGCAACCCGGCGACTGGGAGCTTATGTACTTGCCACTCTTGCACTTGACTTTGTGCCCCGTCATTGTGTGGTCCTTTTGGCAATTTGTAAGGGGGATACCCAGGCAGCCCCGCGCTGCATCTTTTCACGCCTCATATGAAAGTTCAAGTTTATTGTGCTCTTCTTTTCGGCGGCAACTTTAAGCAGCGAAAGTTTTAATTAATTTCGCACACACGAGCTTAACTCGCGCATCTAATTACAGGTGCTGGGTGCTGGGTGCTGGGTGCTGGGTGCAAGCTGTAAAGGGGCGGCAGGGGACGGGGGTAATGTGTCTGTGGCCAACCATCATTATCGCGAGCATCATCAACAAGCATTGGGGGGTGGCTGTGCGGCTGTGGCTCCATAAAATGCGGAAAGGCAGCGGCGAAGGCAAACAAACGGCAGCTGCCGCCGCAAAGTATGCAACACGTTTGCCCCAGCCTTTAAAGTGCGGCGAAGGTGAAGATGGTGCTGGGGGGTGGGGGGTGGGGGGTGTATGTGGATACACGATACGGTTCCGGGTGGGGTTAAGGTTTAGGCTTTCTCACAAAAAGCAAACCAATATCACATGTAATAGGAAATGCGGGCATTTACACACATTAAATATTACGAACTATTTACAAGTTTTGGACTTTAATTATATTTTGAAGAGGTTTTCATTGAATTCCATCAATGTTTATGGAAATTCCAGACGAGGCGCAGAGGCAAGTATTTGGAAGAACTAGAAGCGTAACCTAATCCAAAAATCACTCAATGAACCTAGAATAGTTTTATAGAACATTTTCTGATTATACGCGTATCTCGATCTTGAAGACCACGTCTGTGACGAACAATTTTATCAAAAGTTTGATTTCGCGACCTTCCCTAGGAAATTGAAAAAGGCCAGTGCTATCTTTAACAATGAAGATACCGAAGTATCTTTTTATCTCTTGGCCTCAGATAAGAGTTTATTCAAAACATTAGGGTAAATACCAGACTAAAGTATCTGTATTAGAACCAAGGGTTTATTTACAAACTAAAAACCAGAACTTTATAATGAGAAAAATTAAGTTTTATTCGTTAGAGATGCAGTAAACAGCCACTCCAAGGGAATGTTAAAAGATAAAGATGTGTTGGAGGAACCCATTTGAAGATACTATTCAAGCCAATTAAAACATAATAAATATACATTGACATTTGCTTATTTTCTAACATGATAACATATAACAGAATATCATCTGAGAATGCCAAACACCGATCCAGCAGTTCATTGATCTTTGAATAGTTTGCTTTATTTATTAGGAATTTTTTCATGATAATACAATTTTTTCTTTTGATTTGTTGATCTTTTAACATGACAAGAACTGCACTGATTGAGCTGAAATTTTGATCTTGAAAAGAAAAGAAAAATATTGATTTATTCCCCTATCTCTTATATGTAGTTCTCAGACCAGAAGCTCGACAATGATGAGAGTGTTATACGACAAAAAGTGTTATACTAGTTTATTTTATACAATATTTGTGAACTCCATGCAATATGCAACCTCCATCAATCATAGTACGTATGTCATCATAGTCACATTACTATACGTCATTAACACTTTGCTCAATGTCCTGTTTATCCATTCAGTCAGCAGAGAATCCAAGCATGGGTCCACAAAGTATCTGAGCATTTGCTCCCTTTGCCATTCCACATTTGGGATGCATTTGAAAATCCGCTTAAACGGGAATGGAAACCAAAACGAACCGAAAATGAACCGAACCACGTGCGCCCCAATCGACAAAGGCACCTGGCCCCTGGCCCACTCCTCGATGCAAAGGCTCCTCCGACATGGAGTCAAACACCTGCGAAATTGAATGAGAAATATCCATTCTGTGTGCGTTGTGTGTAGGAGTTGTTGTTACGGTTTCAAACTTATTCCGACCACCGATTTACCCCAGCCCCATTGAGTGAGCAGCAGACCAGTCCGGAACACAGAGCCCGAACATAGTTGGCCAAAAACAATTTTATTTCACAGAAAGAATTTTAAGCAATACAAAAGGATTTTCAATGCCCGAACTGCAACTTATTTCCCGTTGTTTCCTTTCCTCATTTTTTGTTTTTTTTTGGGTAACCGAATATTCAATTGAGTTCAGGTTTTTTGAATTTTGCGGCATCTTTAAGTTGGCTCCCGCTCGGTTCAGAGAAAAGTGCGGTTATACTTGTAGTATTTTTCTGCGGCCAAATTTTAAATTAAACCAAAACTTTGCTCATCATATGAGGTGGCACGGAGTGGCTGTTGTTGTTGGGATTTGGCACATATCTCTCTGGCAGTCTCCATCATAAAGCATCAAACGTCAGTCGCAGTCACAGTCGCAGTCGCAGTCGCAGTGAACGGCGACGCACAATTTCAAAGTTTGAATTGAGTTGCGTCTCGCTCCAGTTGGAGTGGAGCCAGAGCTAGGACCAGGACCAAAGCAGGAGTTGTCTTTGTCTGGCTGGGGAATTCCCATTTCTATATCCAATCTCAATCCCACAGCAGCAGACTCGGAACGAAAAAATCACACAACACACACAATAAACAAGCACTATATGATAATGCTCTGGGAGTTCAACGCTTTACATGAGTGATTCAAGCTACTCTTGGATGAATTATGCATAAATATAAGAAGCATATGAAATGCAGTCATATTCTTATGCGATAAATTAAACTCATATCACAGTTTGACCGCAAAAAAGAATCACAGACTCCGGGGGATTTAGTTTCATTTGTGCGCTGCTGGTATCGAGCATCGGTATTGTCATGGATTGGTCGATGAAGTCCCACTTATTGGCTTATTATTATTATCAGTGTCCAAACATAAGCCCGTGGTGTCTAATACTATTTGGCGGGATAGTCGCGGTAACGCTCGTCTGCTACAGCTGCCATTGCTATCAGTTTATTCGCGATCGTCGTCGGCTCCGATCACAAAATCGGCAACTGCCTCAACCCCTTGTACGTCTGTCGGTCAGCCCGGGCTGCCCCCACATCATCAACACCAAGCTGACCCACTCTAAAAATCTCGCTGAGGCTTACTAAACGCAGAACCGGAGATCATCATTTAAGCTTTTGGGAGGCTATCTACAAACCACATGTAAGTCCATATGTAACTAATTCCATCCATGGAAAGGCAGCTCAAAAATCGGTCTTTGCTTGAGCGAAGTTCGAGTTGAGCAAAAACAGATTCGATCGAGTCTTTTCAGTCCCTTTTCTCAATGTGTCCGTCAATGAGAGGTTTTTATCAGACACGCGGACAGTGTCAACAGTTATTTGCGAGCTATGGTGATTATTAGACCTCGGATTTTGCATATTTGATTCATCAGCATAGTCGTGGGCTCATTATTAATTTTTGTTCAATTGATTTCCTTTGACTATATTTGAAAAGCACTTGGCTGGGGGATCGGAGGATCGGAGGTGCTGCGAGTACGAGTCATCAGAATTTTTCTATCTTAATCCTTTAAAAATATGCAAATATGCAAAATCCGATGTCTAGTGATTATACATTTATAAGTGATTCATTTATAAATGAAAACTTTTGAAGACTTGGATGTTGACTTGGATGAGTATACCACTTTCTCATACTTCGAATTTGCAATATATCCGCAAAAACCATGATTTCCTTACTTTTACTCGGCATCTGCAGATCGGATATACACCTTATTATGTTTTTACACAGTTTTGAAATAGCACGGTTTATTACATTTGTTCATGGAATAAGTCGAATAAAGTCATGAAACAAATTTTAAATTTTTGATATATAAAAAAGTATAAAGGGAAAAAATTCAGTTTCAGCCTTCACCATGGGATTCGGCGAACTGCTGACAGATAACCAAATCGGTATGGTGTACTTGGTGGGTGCACCTATCTTCATATCCCTGATGCTCGTTCACTTCTACTACTGCTGGCTCAGTGTCCGCGAGTGCCGCCGTTCCAGGGGCAGAAAGTCCCTGCTCTCCGAAGCCCCCGAGGCCATACTCCAAGTGGAGGTCTATTGATAAACGGCTTGGATGTGAATCACTCAGAAAACTGTAGTTATCGGTCTGCATGGGAAGGTCTTATTGTATATATTAATACGTACGCCAAGCATTTAATACGCTTATCAATTAGCAAAACTGTTCATTTTTTCTTAGAATTATTTATTGCAATGTTTAAATTAATAATAAGCTATGGAACGCAAAGTAAACAAAAAATATACATATATATTTATGCCCATTTGTTTCTGTAACATACCATAGACATATAATAAATTAATCTGTAAAGATTTATACAATTTTAAAGTTACTAAATATTTGGAAACATTTGAAAAGCTGGAAAGACAATAATCGATTGTGAGATATTATACATATGTAGATATGTATCTTTAATTTTTAAATATGAATCATTAATTTTCTCTACTCTCCTGATTCCAAGTAAATTGTCTGCTTTAAATGGAGACCCAAGCGAATTTTTTCCATGGCCGAGTAATAAAATGTTTGATGAGTTCCCGGCGACCACCTTAAAATAGAGCTTAAAGTGGGTACGTGATGTCTGTCTGTTCATATATAGGTACATAATACATATACATATATGAACTTCTATCTGTGTGTGTGTGTGGGTGTACGTATCCGTATGTTGTTGGTTGCTTACGGCGGGGTCATAAATTTGGCCAAAAACTTGGCTATGCATCTTCGCTGACGTTTCCTTTCACGACCTGCAAAATTTAGCGCTGCACGGCGGTTTTTGATGGCCCTCAGCGGCAGGACGAGATGCGCTAATAAATGACATTTTCATACACCTGACGGAGAGGTAAACTTCCGAGAGACGAGAGACGCGAGTCCAAGGTAATAAGCAAAATTAAATTGAACTGGCTGAAACAAGCCCGAGTAAAAAGTGAACTTTAATGAGCGGAAATGAGTAATAATAAATGGCAATTTATTTATTTATGAACTAGGAAACTATAGAAATTGAGGAAATAAATGTTTTCTCTCTCGTAAGGCTCGAAAATGGGAACCTTTTAATGGGATTAAATAAAAGGAAATTTAGACCCGGGTTAGAGGAATTTTAAAAGGGGTTTCTTTGGGTGTAACTCCGCCAGATATCTTATACTCCAATGAGTCTTTCTATTTAATGCGCATAAAATTTAAATTGGTATTTAAGACAGTTGAGCAAGGAGTCTTTTTGAGTCTAATTTAGTTTTATTTCAGCTTAAAAATAGCCCGAAATTTGCCTGCTCTAAATGCAAATCAAATCGAATTAGCCAACTTTATTTGCTCTTCGTTTTGGAATACTTGCTGGCGATGGCTCTATCTACATATATATTCTTTATTAGGGGAACCATTCAGCGAATGGCCACTGTCACCCTTCTGGCCAAATTGAAACGCTAAAATAATTTACGGCTCAACTAGCCACACGGACGGGCTGGCCGGATACAACATGGATCCCAGCCCCAGCCCCAGCCTCAGCCCCAGCTTCGGCTCCAACTACTGCTCTATCTTCGGCTCTAGTTCAGTTCTTTCCCCTTGACCATGACGCCCCGCTTGATGGCTGGCACGTTAAATGCCATCGAAATGCTCCCAGTTGGAAAATTAGTTTAAAAATACGTTCGGCATCTGCTCCTGCAACAGCAGCAGAAGTTGCTAGAGAAGGAAGCAAGCAAGTCGTGGCTGCTGCTCATCTTTTTATACCCTCGTAGAGGGTCTTGTCTCACCAACAAACAGCTAAGAAGTTCATTAGTTTATGAGATATTTGCCACGTATCCAAAATTTCCATACGGGCAGTTTTACGGGTCGAAATGACTCGATTTTGGATACATCATTTGAATAAAACTAAAGTTTTGTGTGTTTCTGTATGCTATCAAATTATTTGATGTTTCAAGGGTACTCAACACTTCGGCCTCAAAATGATGGCATTCCTTTTGGGTGCCTCTGTCTGTGTGTGGGGGTTTTTTTTTGTGGCAGCAGCACGCGGCTGCGTTCGGGGTGGCGTAAAAATTCACTTAGCTCAACTTGCCCCCAGCCGGCTCCCCCGAGGAGGGTTCAATAAAAGCGACAAGTTGCCCAAAAGAAACTGCGGAGAAGACACTGGCAAGGCTGGCAAGAGTTTCGCCCAATAAAATGTTCGTGTTTTACAATTTTATTAGGTGACGCGAGCTCATCAAATATTTAAACTCGAAAAAGATACATTTATAGCCGAGTGGCATTGTTCGTTCCGCTCCGTTTAAGTAATTGCATTTTAGTGGACACACGTTTTACACTTGTCCGACCCCGAGTTCGAGTCGATGGAGGGGCGGGGACGGCGACGGCGACGGGGACGGGGACCTTAAATCATTCCGTGTTTATCTGGTGACCATAAATTAAGGCATTAGTCGTCGTCCCTGCCCTGGTCGCATCGAACTGTTTGCACAGCGACCGTCGCATTCGGCCGTGCAGATGCTTCCGCCAAATGTGGGATTTACACTGCGGCGGGCCCTGACCGCAATCGAAGTCGTCTCCACACACGCTCCACACACGCTCCACACACACCCACTCCTCCACCCTGATCTTTAATTGTCAAGAAGAAGTGTGGGTGTGGCCAAAACTTTGCGGCCAATCACATACGAGTGTGTATTGTATCCAGATACACGCTGCACTGGGCGAAAAAGTGGATAATCTACGTAGGATATAATTGAAAATTAGATTATAGCCTTTTAAAATATTCTCCATGATTATGGATACAATTGTGCATCCGATGAAACCCATTTGCTGAGACGAGTGTTCTGGGGAAAAATGTCAAAGGTCCCATACTGCAATGTTGAATGTATTTGGGTTCCTTTAATGCCCAAAGATGTCTTTATCGCATGGGATATCTCATGACAATATTGCAATTTTTTGACGTTTTTGGCCGACCCTCACGAGACTCGTTCTGCAGCGAAGGGGGGAATGAATGGTGCTTCATCACCAAAAGTTTAACTAATTTGATCGAAGCATTCTTGTCTCGAAGATACCCGTAGAAAATCGTACAAAATGGAAATGTTCTTGTGTAAGTTCCATATTTCTGCAAAGATGAAGTTCTTAGCATGATTTGGCCAAAAACTGTCAAACTGGTCATACTAAAAACAGTCAAATAGGCTTTATGTTAAAAGGCAGCCCTCATCTGCCATCAAGAATCTTAAAGAATTCGGTGTTCCAAACCAAACTTATTAAAATTCTTATCCTCTGTTCACTTCGGTTCTGGTTTTGGAAATATATCCTTTAATTTACACCATTTTTTCCCAGTGCCCACTGCCTTTGTTTGATTTAGTCGTTGAGCGAAGCACTTCGAACTTTTGAGCATTGCCAATCGACGTGGAGGTATAGGTGGAGGTGTACAATATCTGGTTGTCCTGAACGTTTTTGGCTGCCCAAAGAAACGATTCTCATTCTCTGCCTCTGTCTCTGCGTAGTGTCCCACCTTGTTTGCTAATGAGCCAATTTAGTTGCATTGAATGAAATTGCATCCGGCATGTGTGTCTGGGCCACGCACTTAAAACTTGGCCAATGCATCTGGCCAGGCTGAGGCGCTTTGAAATGTTAAGTGGCTGCGGCCTTTGGAAAATTGATGCTGGGCTAGGTATTGGCCGTAATGGGATGGGTCGCAGATAAACAGTAACTGGAACTGAAACAATTCGGGCAGCCACATATCCCAAGCCATCGCATTTAATATTTGAGTTTTGTTCGCCAATTTGGGTAATCCTTGGAAAGGATAGCCTTACGGCCATCAATAAGAGCTGAGGGGTTAATTTATGGGTTAACAACCAGCACAAAAATATATTATATTTCATTTATTTTCTTTCATTATTTCAACATATATATTTACAAGTGCCGTAAAATCCAGTGGTCTTGGATAACAAGAAATTAGTGATTACCTATATACATATATTTGCAAATGGTATGGGAAGTCGCCAACAAGTATCCCTAAGGGCGCCTAAGCAGTCACCGGATAGCGGCCCTGGGATATTGTTGGGTACGAACTACTGGCGGGAATCATACGGAGGGGGGGTATCCTGCCGGGCTACGAACTACTGGAGGGAGCCACGCGGGGTACCGACGGGCTATGTATTCGTCGAAAGCTTCTTTTCCTCCGTAAATGCGGCGTCTATGCAGGATCTTTTCTCGTACCACTGATCGCGTTGGCGTGGTTTTTACTTTTCGCGACGTCGGCTCCTCTCGGCTTCTCCAATCGACTTCTTTTATCCACCTTTTTTTCCAGCCTAGAACCGGCGTTCTCTCGCTCTCGCCCTCGGCAGAAGGCTGACGTCGTTGTTTCCCCTCTCTTTTCCGCCGCTGGAGCGTCGTTGCTGGGTTTGATTATGGTACTCGGCGTTCCTCTTCTGCTGTTGCCGAATTGATGCTGTTGGCTTACCGTTTCAGCGCTTCGTTGCTGAGTCGACGCTGGCGGCTTATCTTTTCGGCGCTTCTCGTCTACCGTTGCTGCGTCGATGCTGTTGGCTTACCGTTTCAGCGCTTCGTTGCTGCGTCGATGCCGACGGCTGGCTGTTCTCGGCCGTTGCTGAATTGATGCTGTTGGCTACCGTTTCGGCTCTTGGTGTATTCCTCCCTCTCTTTGGCGGCCGATGCGTTGTTGTATTCCTCCCCGTTGCTGTGTTGGTGCCGTTGGGTTAGGGGCCAACTTTACCGCGAAACCGTCGGCGGTTTTGGAGAGGTGATGCTGCCGGAGGAGGACTAGGGTTCCTAGTTCAGGCCGCCACTCGCGCCGTCGAAGGTCGTATGTCCTCTTCTGCTCTTGGGATGCACGTTGGTTCGATGGTGCTCCAGCCCTAAAACACACTCTCGCGTAGGGATCTTCTCGCTGCTCGTTGTTTTTCAAGGGATGGGTCATCGTGTCATTTGGTTGGAATTTGCGTACCAAATTTTACAATAACCCACGTCTGTATATTTAAACTCTCTAAACGCACTACACTGATTCATAGAGTCTTTCAAGACAACAATGTGCATTAAAAATGCATACAATGAATGTGATATTTAACGGTCATAGCCGTTTTTATAACGAGTACAATGTGCATTTATTTTTTTTTAAGCCATGTACAATACCATGAATTATATACATTTCGGATTCCCCATTAGGCCTTCTTATGGGTAATGTTCAACAGATACTTGCGACAGGCCTCCAAGGTATGACGCTTCAGGAAGTTATCTTGATTGAAATACTTGCCACACTGGCCGCACTGATAGTCCCAGGTGTGGTGGCCCTTGGTGCGCTGATGCGAGCGCAGATTAGAGCTGCAATAGGGAATGGCATGGCAGATTGTTAAAGATTTCCCTCATTTATACTTAAATTTGTTGGAATTCCTACCGATCGGCGAAAGACTTCCGGCACTTCGGTTCGGGGCAAGTGAATGGACGCTCGCCCGTGTGGGTTCGCATGTGGGCTACCAGCATCCAGGAATGGTTGAAGATTTTCTCGCACTCGCTGCAGTGGAACAGCTCTCCTTTCTGTTTGGTGCGTCGCGTGCTCTTGGTCGGAAGCGGTTCCGGCAAGACTGATGGCTTTGGGACCAGCTTGGACTGCTTGTCTTTGGTCCAGACGCGCTTGTTGCCTTTGGTGACACTGATGTAGCTTATTTTGGTACCGTTTTTCTTCTTGCCCGCATCTGGGGCTTGGTACGGCTTCTCCAGTTCCCAGATGGTGTGGCTGACCTCGTGGCTCTCACTCTCCGGTAGGATGTCCATCAGCTGTTCACCCCGGCTCAGCTCCATCTGGCGCCTCTCTACGATGGGTAGATCGTCGCTCTTGAGCCAGTTGTCGGTTGGCTTTATGCTGCCATAGTGAAAGGTCAGCTTCGATTTTTTGTTTGTGTTGGCACTGTTTTTTATCACGCTGGAGCTGCCGTGATCGCGTTTCGTCGTTGGTGCCACGTTGGGTACAACACGGCAAATGTCTAGAAATACAAACGAGTAGTTTTGGTTCAGGGTTCAGGGTTCAGAGGTCTTTGTCTCATCTTCAAAGCGTTCGTCATTGCCGCTGTACCTACCCAAGCTGCGGAAGCCACAAAAAAGTTTTGGCATTTTTTAAGAGAATTTAGAACTCAAAGCCACTTTAACACTGAAATTGCTTTTCAGATATAATAGTATTATATAATATCATATATTATTTCTGATATTATAATATTAAGAATCCTTTCTCTAGGCCTGCTATGATTTATGGCAGCAACGATTACGTCGACCAGAATAAAGCCGCTACCAGCCTTGCAAGTCAATTTCTCGCAGTGCGAGTCATGCCGTTTTTTTCCTAGTTCCTCTTAATTTAATTTGAAACTTAAAATGCAATTTCTAAATTCTCAGACTTTATTCGCAAATCTAATTTATCTAAATCTGCCTGGCCGTGCTTCCTTTCAACCCAGCATGCTATGCTCGGGATGAGAGTATGGGTCTATCGGCCTTTGGGTGAGTGGTCCCATCGAGTCTGCCATCTGTCCAAGCTGATCCTTCTGGCGGCGTCCTTAATTTCTGCTTTGGAGCGTACCTCAGCTGCACTGTCCTGCGTGGCGTCGTGGATCTCTTTCCTCTCCCGTATCAGCTCCCTAAGCGGAACTTTCCCGGCACTGACTAGCGCTGCCTCGTCCGAAATGGTCCGGAACGAGCACGCGATCCTAATGGCGCACAATCTGTAGGTTGCCTCCACTCCTCGCATATAGCTTTTCACCTTCGCGGCTTCTGCTCACACTGGTGCGAACTCCAGGTGCTCCTTGAAGGAGAAGAGCGTGTCGATGAGGACTCCCAGGTACTTAATAGACATCTGCGAGTGGATCGTGGTCCCACCAACCTGCACTCGGGCGGTCTCGACCACTTTTCGGCTCGATATTAGGACGGCCTCCGTTTTTTGGTCCGCCCGCTCCAGTCCCGCGGCAGCTAGCCGCGCCTCTACGGCATGTATGGCAACGTTGGCAAGATTCTCCACTGCAGTGAGCTCCTTCGCTACTGCCACTATTGCGGCGTCGTCGGCGAATCCCACCAAGTTGGTGTTGTCTGGCATCGGGAGCCTTAGGACCCCATCGTACATGGCGTTCCAGAGCAGGGGCCCCAAGACGGAAGTACGGATGCTGAAACCGATACGGATGCTAGAGCGATATTGGGTCTTAGTTAAAAGAAATTTAAAGAAGGATGGTAGTCTCTTCGAAAACATGGAAGATATGAAAAAACGAGGGGGAACGTTGTGAGTTGCTGCGGAGACCGGAACTGCGGAACAAAAAGCGCGGGTGCCTGCGATGTTACTAGTTTTACTCGCTCAAGTTAAAGTTTATTTGAATATTTGTTGCGCCATATAGCACGTTTTTGCACTTTGCCGCTTTACAACACTGAACCAGTAATGCTGAAACCAGTATCGATACACATTTGACGTTGACGTTCTGCTGAAACCAGTATCGATACACATTTGACGTTCTTGCCAGTGGCCCTGGTCTTGCTTTCCTAAGAAAATATAAATATAACCAAAATGAATGGCGATACATCTGTAGGGAATTACCTGATTGAATTTTGCAAATCGAGTCCGGAAATCCGCAGATCTATGGACGAGTTCGAAGCAGCACTCGAGAAGAGCACTTACATCAACAAGCAAATGTGTCGTAAGCCAACATTTTCTTTCCGTAGTTAAAAAAATATGCTAAGATTAATTAAAATTGCAATACAGAACATTATAAGCCTCTGATATGGTGCGCTGACTCTGCAATTGGCCCAGAGGACAGGCCACGTGTTGAGACACTAAGTGAGGACAAGAAGAAAAGCTCCACAGACGTGCGCCACACCTTGATTAAGTCTATAGTCTTCGCATCCAAGAGCTTCGATTACCTCCAGGCCAAGGTAAGTGCCGAGTACCAAACAACATTCTGATTAAATGAAACCTGTGCAATGGAGGTATGTTTTATAGGTCTTCGTTCGATGCGATTGACGTCACCTCTCGGTTAGTGTGTAGATGTTTGCGGCAATATGGTGATTAAGGCGAGCCTCGCACAAGGAATATTTACTCTCTCTCTCTCTCTTTAATTATTTTTCATTGTAGTTTCTGTCCTTAGTTATTTTGATATTCTCTTATGGTCGTGTATCCAATCCAAGGTGAATTTACTACATCCGCTGTGGCGAGAATCATCCACTTTTTCAACTGGCTCTTTCGTCAAATGTCTAATGTCGCTCGGATTGTGGTAGTAAAGTACAATTCGTATTTGAACTGGTTTACCTCAGTTCTACAAAAACTTCCGACCAAAATATGGGTTATTTCCACTCAGAATTGCAGCATTATCAGCTTTTGTTGACCAGTTTTCGAAAACTGAAATGGCATTTGGCTCGCTCTAAAACAACCATACCGTCGATTCCTGTTTTGCTCTTATTTCTTGAAAATTTCTTACACTAATTGACACGAGCCTCTTTTTGAACGATTATGTAAATAAACAAGATGTGATCTTGGAAATTCTTATTGATGGAAACCATGCTAATGTCTAAGAAGGCCTGAATCGGTTCCTTCTCTTAAGGAATCACAGCATGGCCTTTGGGACTTGATAAGGCTAAAAGTGACCTGGGCCATGAACTTAAATAGCCCTCGTAAAACGAAAATCCTATATTCCATATTTTCACTTTGCGAGTCTTAAGCTTAATTTCGGAAGTGACTTTAAAATAAATCAGATATTTAAAGGCATATCAAAGAACATTTGTAGACTCTGAGACCTTTAAAGATTACACTTTTATAAAAAGGCTTATCGAATAGAAACAATTTTTTAGATTATGAGCAGATGAGAAGAACAGTAAAAAACATAGAAGCAGTTTCTTTATTCTCCTTTGAAAATCCCTATGGCGATTGCCATTTGTACTCCGCATGCGACTATCCCAAACTCTCAAATGGCGTTTTTTTTGGTAATTGTTTAGTCTGTGCTAATAGAAGGTACATATTAGAGACATACCATGTTATAGAGATACTAACTTGTGCTACATTTGCAGCTAAAGGTACCCCAGGTCGAATCGATCGAAATGAACTCGCCGGGAGCATTGAGTTCCATTGACGTGTTGGAAGCACTCGGAGTCTTACCCAATGAGACGCACAGAGAGCAGAACAATTTCACAGGATTTCCGGACTCGTTGCCAACAGTGGAAAAAGGAAGCTCTTTGGAGGAGCCTATGGTTCTGGACAAGCCAGATGCCTAAAGACAGCAAAAGGCGTTAAAAGTACATTTTTGGTCGCAGAAAGCCCCAACACCGGACCATGAACTTAAACAACAATTCGGCATGGATCCAAATATGTTAGAACGAAGATTATAAACAAAACATTGGTATACTCGTACCAGTGAAAAATGAATTTAAGCAGCTGATATTATTATTTTTTAAATATTACATGTTGAAAGGATCGGATCAGAAAATAATCGAATTTTATATTGTTTACATTTAAATAAAATTGTAAGTCATGGTCCCTTCAATTAATGGAATTAATTAAGACATTTTAAGACTGAACTAGAATTATGGAAATATATTATTCACATTTAGAACATAATTTTAATTGTTTATTTGTTGTTTTTTCTCCAACATAAACATGCATATATTGAAGTCTAGCGTTATATTAAAATATGAATCGTTATGAATTCAAATGAATCTTTAAAATTATAAAAATGGTCTGTCGAGTATCCTTGCCAGGATCTTATAAAATGTGGTAAAAATTACATATATATATATATTTAAACTTTGGTAGACTACGCCGATTCACAGACTCTATCTGTCCCTCTGTCCGTCTCTATGAGCAACTAGTGCTCAAAGACTATAAAAGCTACAGCCACGACATTTTAGAAATTTTAGCCCCCCTTTGAGAAATGCTGTTAAACACAAAAGCAGGCTGTAGGTAGAGCATATATTTATTGATAAGTTAGTTATATGTAGATCGTGAATAGTATACAATTTTTTAAAGTCTCAAAGCAATGCCAATTAAATGTCGCTCCTCCCAGGCAATCGGGCTGGGGGACTTCGAGGAGGATCCCCGGACGCGCGGCATCTTACACAACACCAGCTGCCGAGCCTTTCGCGAGAGGCTACGCTCCACCCGGAAGTTTTATTTATTTCAAGGCCTAGCCATTGCAACAGGCGGCGTAGCGCTGCTGGGAGTGCTGATCGTCATCGGCATGGACGTGGCAGCAGACGACTCTAACGCTCCTGGGACTATCAGCCAGATGAAGGCACTGTTGGACAAAGTGCTAAAGTTACTGGCGGACGGGATGAGCTTTGGCTTCTCAGCGACGGGCCAGTACTGCAATCAGCCTCTCGACACAAAGCGTCTTTTTGAGCTGATAAACAAACAGGTCCTCAACCAGGAGCAGGCGCTCGCCGGCATGGAGCGTACCCTAAGCCGCGATCACCAGTTCCAGTCGATGGCGCTGCTCGGTCCGCCCGGTGTGGGCAAGACGCTGACGGTTTCGGCTCTTCGCCTCTACTTTCCCTGGCCGGAAAACGTGCATGCCTTATTCGGGAGCTCGTGCGGTCCGGATGAGGAGCGTCACTGCCCAGTGATACGGAAGATTTTAGAACAGCTGTCCGACTGCGGCAAGAACCTGCTGATCATCGACAATCTCGCCCCGTGCGATCATAGCATTGTGGCCATCTTCAACCGGCAGATCCTCAATGGCTTGCAGAACAAATCGGTTTTGGTGTTGTATATCTTTAATCTGGAGGTGAAGGACTACTGGCGGCAGTTTGAGTTTCTGCAGAAGGAGCTTCCAGTGGATACGGGGATCGTAAGCTTTCGTCTCTTTGGACGCGACGATCTGCGCGACTGTCTGCAGAACGAGTTAAAGCTGGGGAGTCGAGTGCTGGACGAGGACGAACAATCGCGCATCCTTGGCGAAGCAATGTCCAGGGTTTGTTGCGCCGGATGCAAGGGGCTCCGTGAAATCGTCCTCCAGCAGGGCCGATCAGAGACTGACGAAACATGCACCATTTGATTACATGTCTATCCAAATTCATTCCTACTTCCAAATGAATCAGAATGTCTATGTTACCAGTGTTGAAAAAATTATGTAAATACATACATGTTTACTGGAATACTCGTACTTGTAGTATATTCCTTGAACACCTGAAATCTGTAACCAGTGTCCGCCAAAAGTTCTCATTTCGCTTTTAAGCGAGGGACTCGCACCCTGAAGGAGGCCCTACAAATCAGTCATATGAATTTATTAGCAATTTATTATGATTCGAAGTATTGTCAATGTTCCCCTTCGGTTTGGCTGGCTTTGGCTCATTTGACAGCTTTTCCCGGTTCTTGCTTGACTGCCCGCGATGCTGGTTTCGGCCGAGTAGTCGTACTCCACTTCCCGCATCCAGTTCTACTTCCCTCTTCATTATATATGGAAACGAAAATTCGTCAGCATTGAGGTCTCGGCCAGATCAAGGGATCACGATCTCTACCACTGCCACTGATACTAGTCTCTTTCAGGCCCTGCCACCGCCAGTGGCGCTTACTTGAAATCGATCAAAATAAACCTTTTAACCCTGAGACCTTAGATTCCGACCCAGTAGAGCTCCAGTTGTAGGAGCTGGATTATATTTTAATATTCTAAATCACAAAAAAAATGTAATCCGATCAAAGCGATATGTTGTATAGCTGCCAATTGAACCATTGGCCAAATATCGTATTTTTTAACTATGACCTCAAGTCGACACCTCTAAACGTTGTCGAATCAGGCTATAACTGTATATTTTATTGTTTTATATCAAAAGGGACATTCTTAGACCATGCGACCTCTGAAGATTACACTTTTATAAATAGGCGTATGGAAAAAAACGAAATTTTACGAGTATTAAAAGTCTGTGCCACGCATCCAACTATCCTAAACTCTCGAGCGAGGCTTTGGTGGTAATTGTTTAGTCTTTGCTAATAGTAGGTACATATTAAAGACATACCTTATTTTAGAGATACCAATTTGCGTTACATTTGCAGCTTAAGATACCATAGGCCGAATCGGTCGAAATGAAAGGGCCGGGACCATTGAACGCCATATACGTGTTGGAAGCACTCGGAGTCTTACCCAATGAGAGGCACAGAGAGCAGAACAATTTCACAGGATTTCCGGACTCGTTGCCAACAGTGGAAAAAGGAAGCCAAACTGTCCAGGTATTGTCCACATGCAGCTCTCTGGAGAAGCCTATGGTTCTGGACAAGCCAGATTCTGCCAAAAGGCGGGAAAATGCGTTAAAAGTGCTTTTTTGGTCATAGAAAGCCCCAACACCGGACCATGAACTTAAACAACAATTCGACATGGATCCAAATATGCAATGCATCTTCAAAAACGATCATACCATTGAAAAGCGAATTCAAGCATCTGTTAATATTATTTTTTAAATTTTGAAGGAATCGAATTTTATATTGTTTACATTTAAATAACATTTTATGTCATGGTCCTTTCAATTAATGGAATAAATGAAGACATTCGAAGGCTGAAATAACGAAATTTTCAGAGGCATTCAAAATGATTAAAGAATGGTTAACCACTTTCGTATAGACCGAGGTTCTGTAAGAGAGCATAGGCACCCGATTTTGTATTCAGACTCACTAATCATTAGTCTAATTTGTTTAAAAATGTTTACCTAATTATCCGTGCTGTCTGTGAAAATAATTTCTTTCATTTTCCCATCATATCATGCTATTGCATGTATGATGTCCCTTTTCCTTTTCCTATTCCAATCAGTATTTAAACCAATAAGAGTACCTAGTCTAGTGGTCAGGTAACCACAGCGATCTTACGAGTTTTTCCCTGGCTTGATGGCTAATAAAATTAAGCGCTCTTTAAGGATGGCTGTACATTGACCCCTTCGGGGTGATTACTGGCCACGAATCAATATCCGGCCATCTTCAAGTGCACAGACTTCAAGCTTAAAGGCATTTAAGGAGCGGGCATTCAGTCATCGCTTTCATCGGGCCACTCAAGACGAAACACTTCAACAATTTTCTTGTTAAAATTTTTCCACACGATATTCAGGGTGAGGCAGAGAATGAGAAGAAGAGTCGAGGTCGGAGGTTTGAGGTTCGAGGCAGTAGCCAGGCAATATCCCGAGAACGAATGTGTTGAGCAATAAAATTAGTTGGCTGGGATGTGTGCCTGTGTCTGTGTCTGTGTCCGCGAGTGTGTGTGAGGTTGTTTGAGCAGGACATGCAAAGACGTTTTGCAATTTGCCTGTAATCCTGTGCCCCACACCATGCCGTGGCCGGCCACCAGGTCTGGCACCGCCTTGGACCCGCTTTAAGCATTCAGATTCGGCTGTTCCTCTGCTGCTGATTCTGCTCGGGAGCAGCTCCTTCAGTAAGCACTTAAGTCTCAACTATTGTGAAGAAGTTTTCAATTGTTTGGCTGCTCTCCGTTTATTTATTTGCATTTTTTATTTGCCGTTTTTGAGTGTGTTTTGTAATAAAAGCCGGAAGAGAAAACATTTATGTACTCATCTCCACCCACATACCCATTCCCATTCTCATTCCCATCCCCATCCCCATCCGACATCTCCGACAACGAGCCATTTCCAACAGCTTTATTGCATTTATTTGGCACTTTATTACCTCCAGCTCGTTGTTCGGCTGTTAAATGGCCAAAAGGACCACAAAATATTGGGCGAGCAAATTACTTGGGTCATTTCGGAGTGCATCAATCTCGTCTACAGTGCGTTTCACCAAACTGCTGAATATTACACTCTCCAGCGTTCGATCATTTTCAATAAAAGTGTGAAAATTGTCATAGGAAATTTGTGGAATTGGCTTGAGTTTATCAAGATATTATTTGGTATATACATGTCTCAAATACTCGGATTTATTAAATAAATAAATTCCAAAAGCTGTGATTAGCTAGTTTCTGTGGATTGGAGATGACTGTATTCTACTCTTAAGACAACTCAAAAATCCATTCAGTGGTTCAGCTATTGAATATTTGCTTAAAACTTGTATGCATTTATGAAACGCACTGCATCAATCAGAGAAAAAGAACATCGAGAAATGGCAGCAAGAAAAACAGACACAACAAAAGCAAAAATGTCCCAGTTAAACATTAATTCATTTTGACAACAGCAAATTTTCTCTGTGCTCGCATCTCCGTTTCCATAAGTACGGATACTCGTCGTAGGACCGTACAAATGACATTTTTCATAAACTTATATTTGCCATACCATACACAGAGACTGTCTAATACGAGTAGGTGGATGGGTGGCAGTGCGTGTATCTTTGTGTTTTGCTCTAACGACAAAATCGCATAAATGCTTTCGACTGCCAAACAAATGCCGACATAAAAGGAGGACTGCAATGCCATTGAAAAGGAGCTTTCCAGCTCTGTTTATTTGTGTATGTCAGTTGGACTATTAAAAATCTATTTCAAGTACAGACGCACAGGCACATTCATGCATCGAAATTGCGTTTGTAGAGGTCTGGATCCGGGTCCGGGCTTTATTGCAGTCGGAAAACATTTTATTGCAGCTCTTGGGCTGCCTCTAAAGCCAGTAATACTCGTGTTGGACTCCAAATTAAATATGCATGTATGACAAATGAGATTTCCAGATTTTCTTTTCTTTTTTAATGCCCCAGCCACAAAGATGCGTGTCAACAATGGTCCGCAAATGAGCTGGTGCCCACAGCACAAAATATAATTAGCTTGGGTCGCACACTGGAGTTTTTAAAAATGAGACTTTTTTTTTCTGAACTAGTTCTCTTTAAGATTGCAAAAAATTGTACTCGTTGGATTCTATTAAAAAAAAGTTTCGGGAAGGGGAAGGGAAATAGATCATGTTTAAATATTTTACTTTTTCTACTAGCAGAAGCAGAGTCCATGTACATTCCGAAAATATATATTTAGAATTATGGCTATGCATCAATTTAAGACCAATTCGAATCTTAATTTTTAAGATTTGAAATAAATCTTTTGTGTATTTATTCACAAATAATTATTGAATGGGTAGCATACATAGTACTGATTGAGTGGAACACAAGCTATCTGCAGTAATACTTAGATATCATACGAGTAATCCCATAAGGCTTAAAGGATTAAAGAGGAGCCGTTCGTTTGTGGTTTTTTGTGTCTCTTTCTGACAAACAGGACTGTCTCCGCTCCCTTGTGTCACAGCCACGTCAAAGTCATCAAGAGCCAGCCTAAGGATATATGTACTCCAATCGTTTCCTTAAGTCCAAGTCAGGCCACGTACAAGTGTCGTTCGGCGGAGGTAATCCAAGCTGAATCGAAGGATGTGCGCCGCCTCCCAGAGGGCCAGCGCCTAAGATTGCATTCAAATTTCGTCATCAACATATAAATGAAGCAATGGATTCCGAAGTCCGGATGGCCAAAAACTAGTCACGCTGAGGCCAATCAACAAGAACAAGATTTTAGGTCTCTTTTGTGTAAAGCACTCGCAATGGATTCGTTCAAATGGAAAGAAAAGTCACAGTGTCACAGCTTTCCCATTTAAAATGTAATTATTTTTGTTTTTCCCTGGATAAGGATAAGAATCTCCATTTGCATTTTGCATGCGCCCCGAATTTTTCTTTGAGAAAATATATCATGAATAAATGTTGGGCATTTCTGTCATCATCTAATATGCAACAAAATCCTGGCCAAATAAAAATTCATAATTTAATCAAATACTCGTACACCAAATTCCGACACACGTCACAGGACGAACGACAGACAGCAGGGACGGAAACTCCCCAGCGCCGAGGCGCCTCGCCTCCAGGCGCTTGGCAATTAAATTTGCATGCCGCAAAGTGTGTCCTGCAAAAAAGTGTCAAAGCCCGTTTTCCTTTTCCGGTTATTTACTGAAGAAAAACACAATTGTTTGCTGCATTTGCGGCCTAACCACCGCCTCCCTTCTAATCCAGGCTCGCCCCCACCTCGGGGCCGGAGCATAAACAAACTGCGACATAGGCAAATATAACTTTATTTTCCACTGTTTTCTGTGATTGGGTGTGTGTGTGTGTGTTCTGGCGAAAATTTGATAATTTGTGCAAAAGTTTGCACTGCATTTGTCCGGGCCAGGGATACGTGTCCGGCATAAACAATGGCCAACGAGTGGAGCGG